ATTATATAAATAACGTTATTATGTAATTTTTGAAAAAATGCGCGTAACAATGAATTAAACGCGCATGCGCATTCGTATAGCACCACTGAAAAAAAATAAAAATAAAAAAGGATTTTTTAATAAAAAAATTGGGGGGCGGGTAGTTTTTCACTTATTATGTAAATAATTAATTAATTTTTTTTTTTTGTTACAGGAAAAGCCGTTTCGGCGTTTTATTTTTCTTATTACCGAGTTAATAACAAACCGTCAAAATTTCTTTCTTAAATTTTAAACAGTCTTTTACAACAAATGTCAATTATCTCAAAAGAAGGTAAGAATAACAAAAATTTTTTAATTTTTTGTTTCGTTAAGCCGGAAGTGGCGGTGATGTATACTCCTGTAATCCAACTACTCGAAGGTTAGGTGTAGAGGATGTTTTAAGGGAGCGGGGGTTGTGGGATTGGATTTTCCACGTTGACTAGGCATCCGCTAGGGGTTAAGCTTCAACTTGGATGCCTTGGGGGAGCTCGAGGTAGTCCAAAAGTCATCGAGTTGAGAGTCGTGGGTTCAAATCCTGGGAGTGGGAGTTTAATTTTAGCTCATTCAAACAACAGGCCTGTACCTACAAAGCGACCTAGGACCCTTTCTAGACGTTAGGGATGCATTGACCCTTGTTCGAGGGGATGAAACTGAGTATTTGATCCAAAATAGGGTAAAATGCGGAGCTGCGACGTGAAAGGAAAACAGATAAACGATCAAAGGAATTCGGTACCCCGGACATCTCCCCAGAAATCGCAGACTCTGCGGAAGTGGCAGGAAGGTGGCAACTTGGAACTGACTCTCGAAGGGTAAAAAGGGGATGAAAAGGTACCGAGATCTTCCTTGGGTGGGGCTCCCTTCATCTCAAGTATGAACCTGATGGTTCAAGCTAAGGAGAGGGTTGAGGCTGAAATACAGGCTAAAAACTCCCACGACCGCCCCTCCCCCGGAAAAAGGAGTGAAGGAGTTTTAGTTGGGTAGTGGCTTCTACTAAATCCCACACTTTCCCTCCTACCGTTTGGGGAAGTTATTGAGAAATTCATTTCTCTTGGGTTTACAAAAAAGAAAAAGTTTTAAAAATGTCGAGTTCATTTTTTTTTCCAAGTGTTTTTCAATGTTGGTAACACTGATGAAAAATTTTTTCCTATATTGACTCTTTCTCCGTTATTATTATATATTATTGGTAAACATTTCTACCGACTTGAAATTTTTATTTTTTATCACGATGTCGAGCCGATTGAAAAAAAAAAAAAAAAAAAAAAAAACATTTCGTCGTCGTGTAAAAATAATAATAATAATAATAATAATTACGGTTACGGTTGCTTAATAATAATAATAATAATAAAATTCGAATAAAAATTTTGTCACGTTTTTAATTTTTTTTTTTTTAAATTTTTTCTTTCGAAAAAAAAAGTAAAAATTTTAAAAACTATTGCGTTTTTTTTAATGCCCTTTGACACTAATTATTTACCTTCATTATGAGATTCATCATGCTCGGTAAATTTTCTAATGACACGATTTTTTTGTCTAATAACCTTACGAGAGACTTTTAGGCTACTATTTGTTAATAAATTAATGAGAAAACATTATTTTGTTTTTTTGTTTTGTTTAGGGTTTAATTAATATCCGGGCAAACATTTTCTTATCTCTTAATTAATATATATATGTATGTATCGACCGGAAACGGAAACGGTTGGTTTTTTTTCGTCAAAAGAAAAAGTTTACTAATTAAATTATCGATTTTCAATTAATAATAATAGCAAAAATGTTTTCAAGACAATTTTTGAACATTATTTTTTTATTTTCAAATTTATGCGACATACAGGCGACGACAAAAATTCTTACAAAATCCGTTATTAACTGATTATTCGCATGCTCTAAAATTTTTTCTTTTTTTTTTTTTATATCTAACGTGACATTTTAAACTAGGTTGAATTTTAAGGTTGATTCATATCTTTGAAATCACTCAACCTTTAAATTATTTTTTAAAAAAATTTGTCTGATTGATTGAATGAATGAATGAATGAATGAATGAATGAATGATTAAGCATAATTCTTTTTACTTCGTCGTGATATATGTATAAATGATTTTAAAAATGGCGTCTACGACGTCAGAGTAATTCTAACGGAAATTTTTTTTTTGGCAAGGAAAAGAAGAAAAGTGACAGAAAAATATTGATTTAACCCTCCCTCCACTCCCCCTCCTCTTAGGGATGCTAAAATTTTCATTCTTTTTTTTCCACCCTCACATGTTTCCAGTTGACCTTTTCAAAAAAAAAAAATTTTCCTTATTCCGAAACATTAAATTTGCCAACGTAATTTTATGGTTTTTTTTCTTTTTTTTTCTCCAGACAGAATTACGTGAAATTTTTCCTTTTTTTCTTTCCTTTTTTCCTTTTTTTTCTTGTCAAAGGAAAAACACGTAAGAAAAATTAACAAAAGAAAAAAAAAAAATTTTTTTTAACGCAATGATATATTTTTTTTGTTGTTGTTTTAAATTAGAAAGTGGTAAACCTTGTTAACTTATTTATTATTATTATTATTATCGATTTTTTTTGGTCACGTGATACCCGACGCGGTAAAAAAAAAGAAAAAATCAAACAAAACAATTTTTGACTGGAATTTTAAAATTAAAAAAAAAACCGTACGCACGGTTTTTATCGTAATAACTACAAATATTGGAATAATTACTGGATTTCAAGTTTTTTTTTTTTTTTTCGTTTTGAAAAGTTGTAGAAACTTATTCTGGAATTTATTTCGAACAAAAAAAAAAAAAAATGAAATCGAGACACGATTAAAAAAAAAAATTGCAAAAAATCTCGTAAATGCTCCAGGGGAGGGAAAAAAAAAATGAAAAAAAATGTCGCGAAACGGCCTTGCTGGAAATTTTTTTTTTTTAAGAAAATAAAATTAACGATTTAATGATAAATAATTATTTTTAAAAAAAAAATCGATATATATATATATGTTAAACATTTTTTTTTTAAATTGAGTCTATGCGAAAATATGTAAAAAACGTGGCATTAGACAAAAAAATTATTATTTTCCTACGAATAAAAATTATTATAATTATTATTATTAAATTGATCGAACGTAATAAAATTATTATTTTTTTTTAATCGTAATTATTGTTTGTTTGATGACGGCCATTTTTTTTATTTAAAATTGTTTTTCTTATTACGGCACTGACATCAAATTTTCTATATTAATTCATCATTCGAATTTGATTTCAATGAAACGAATATATTCCAACGTTTTTTTTTTTTTTTTTTAAATAGGGTTTTCTATATAAAATTTTCCGTTTAACCTTAAACGTTCGACATAAACGTAATCAATCAAATATTTATTATCATTATTATTATTATTATTATTATTATTATTATTATTATTATTATTATTATTACTAATAGTTATAAGGAATTGATTTGTAACATTTAACGATTTTTCTCCTGGATAAAAATCTTAAAATTCGTTAAAAATGATTTTTTTTTATAATTAGGTTCTCCTCCGGAGACCTTTCTTCAGAGTTTGACGATGAGCCACAACAACTGCCTCCGTCAAAACCCGGAATGCCATCAACAATGGCAGGGGCCTACGGTACGCCACAAAGTCAAGGTCCACCGCCATCCGGTGGTGGAACTTCTGCAACAGCCGGAGCTCCACCACCTGCTCCAGCCGGAGGTGACATGTCTCTCAATTTGAATCCAAAAGCGAAAACGATAAGCGCTCCATCGAGTCCGGCAAAATCTCGGGAAAGCCTTTTGCAAAGAGTTCAAAGTTTAACGGGTCAGGCAAAAGAACAGGGAGTGAGCATTTTGGGTAAGTGTAAAAATCCTTTAGAAAATCTCATTTTCGATACCTAAAATTAACGCATTTTTAGGGGGAGCCGTATCAGCTGCTCAACAAGTTGCCAGACCTGCTTTTAACAAGGATAGATGCTTCACGTTGTTGGTCATAGACGATCAGAACACGGATTGGTCGAAATATTTCAGAGGTAAAAGAATTCAAGGGGATTACGATATTAGAGTCGAACAAGCTGAATTTAAAGATTTGAACTTGGCATCTAATTCTGATACTGGAACTGTTGTTTCAATGGCGGTCTTCCGTAATGGAACTAGAATTGTAAGGTACGTCCTTAACCGACACAACCTTAAACAACATTTTGAAATAGTATATACCTTAAAACGAATGAAATTTTTTTTTTTCTAACGTCTTATCTCACCGTTATCTTTTTTTCTAAATATTTTGACTGATACTAGCCATATAACGCACGGGTTGCTTTTTTTCTAAAACTCTAAAACGGCTGCCATATTGAATTTCGCAAACTTAACAAAAAAAAAAAAAAATTTTATCTAACGAATACCGGATATTTTATCTTATCACGAATTGTTCTTATGTTCAAAACTCCGACAATTATTTGCTGCGGCCACGAATTTTTTTTAAAAAAATTTTTTATTAATTTTTCAGATCTTTTCGCCCGGATTTTTTGCTTATTAGACAAAACCTTAGAGATGCTGGAGAAGATCATAAAAATTTGCTCTTAGGTTTTGAATTTGGAGGAGTTCCAAGCATCAATTCCCTCCAGTCTATTTACGGGTTTCAGGTATGGTCAATCAAATTAAAAATAAATCAAAATCAGGTTTGATTATTTTCCAAGAACTTGGACTTGTTATATCATTGCAACCTTGATTTACTATTAATAATAATAATAATAATAATGGTTGTAATAGTATTTAACAATAATTTCAAATTATCAATTATGACAATAATAATAATAATAATAAATTTTGTAGGATAAACCCTGGATTTTCAGTCATTTATTACAAATTCAAAGGAGATTAGGAAAAGAAAATTTTCCGTTAATCGAACAAACTTTCTATCCAAATTACAAGGAAATGGTAAGTTTACTATTATTATTATTATTATTATTATTATTATTATTATTATTATTATTATTATTATTATTATTATTATTATTATTATTATTATTAATAAAATATTTAATGAGTTTTGGAATTTTCATCGAAAAGTTTTCTTTAAAAAAAAAGTCAAAAGAAAATACAAAAAAGAAAAAAGAAAAGAGTTACTCGTGAAATAATTTGTTTTATTTATATTTAACGGTTTTTTTTTTTTTACGAAAGTAAATATATATTTTCGAGCCGATAAACTAAGTCTAATATCGATGGGGTTCATAGAATCCCCTTTCCCCTCTTCCCCCCCCCCTCTCTCTCTCTCTCTCACTTTTCCTCAAAAAAAAAAAAAAGGTTCCTATCGAAAAATAACAATAAAATTATTTTTTTAAAAAAATTTTTCCTCAAAATAAGAATTTTATTTCTTTAGCCACTTTAAAATCGTTTTACCCGTGGTTTTAGAAAATAATAATAATAATAATAATAATAATAATAATAATAAAATATTTTCACATAATAATTAATAGTTAATTAATTATTATGAAGTAACCTTGTGAAAAAAATTTTTTTTTTTTTTTATTCGTTAAACAAAGGAAGTTGGTAGTCAATTCAACGAGTGAATTTTATTATTATTATTATTATCATTATTCAAGGTTCCGTTAGTGATTCTGGTAAATTACAATTTTTTTTTTTTTTTTGTAAAATTCACGTTCGGCCATGTTACTCAAAAAAAAAAAAAAAGAAAATTCTTTGAAAATTTTACTTTAAATTAATTTGCTTGCTCACTTTTCGATACGGTTGACGCCATTTTTTTTTCCTGGGTTTTTGATTTAGTATGTCAATAATAAAATGTTTCTTTTAAATATCATGATATTGTCTTGCGCGAATTATTATGAAAGTACTAAAGAGATTGAGAGGAGTTTTTTATTTTTTATTTTTTTTTTGTTCAGTTAACCTGTACTAGATTTCCTGTAGTCGTTAAAATTGGACACGCTCACGGTGGATTGGGAAAAGTCAAAGTAGACAATAATAATGATTTTCAAGATATGTCGTCGGTTGTTGCCGTAACCGGAAGTTATGCAACCGCCGAACCTTATATCGATTCAAAATACGATATTCACGTACAAAAAATCGGAACCAATTACAAAGCTCTTATGTGCGTATAAACAAACCTTTTTTTTTTGGTTTATAATCCTTATATTGAACCTGAGTTATTTGTCGCAGGAGAAAATCAATATCGGGTAATTGGAAAACCAATACAGGTTCAGCAATGCTCGAACAAATTCAAATGCCTGAACGTTACAAGAATTATGTCGACGAAGTTTCCGAATTGTTCGGTGGTAAGTTGTCGTCAGAGTCCCTCACATTATTAATAATTAAACCGTGATAATTTTTTTAAAAAATTTTTAATTGTTAATAGTGTGCCGCGCATTTAAAATTAATTATTTAAAACTCAGGGGGAGGGGGGGGTTCGTCATTTAATGCATTAATAATTACGTAATAATTATTATTAACGATTGACGAATTTATTTTAATCAGGGTTGGATATTTGTGCATTAGAAATGGTCGTCGGTAAAGATGGACGAGAATACATAATTGAAGTTAATGATTCTGCTCTTACCTTGATGGGTGACAGTCAAGAAGAAGATAGAAGACACATTGCTGATTTGGTCGTGCAAAAAATGCAGGTAAAAGTTCGTTCGCTGAGACACGTTGTTCCCACGTGTGCGTAAACATTATTTTCCAATTAAAATACACCTGTAAAAAATAATTTAATTATAATTATTATTACTATTATTATCGTTACGTGCGAGACTTTCCGCGTTTATATTTATTTCTAAGCATGTGAAATTTTTCCTATTTTCTGATTGTTATTTTTCCAGAAATGTCTGTCTTCTACTTTACCTGCGAGCATAAGGTTTACCAAAGCTACGAATATATCTCAGGTAAACCGTAGTTTTTTTTTTTTTTTTTTTTTTAACATCTCATTCAGGTAGAAATTATCAGTGATAAGGTGGGCATCAATGTCACGCACTCAACGCATTTTTTTTTTTTTTTTTTTTGTATTTCTTTTACATCCGTCCATTCTTTCACATTATCATCATCATCATCATCATCACCTTCATTATCACGTTAATTAATTAATTAATTTTTTTCATTCAAATTCCATTTAAATCTAATAATAAACACACACACGCATACGCATACGCATAAACCTTAAATTTATTTAGTTAATTATTTATTGCGTAAAAATTATAATTTGTTTTTATAGGTGAAAAATGTATGATTCATTTACGTCACGGTCATTTTATTATTATTAATTTTGAAAATTTTATAGAAAATAATAATAATAAAAAAACATGTCGGTGGTTTAAAAGCAATCGTTAAAAAATTTTTTTAGTAGAGTAATTTATTGCGAGTTGTTTATGAAGAAAACAAAAACAATATGATGAATGATATTAAGGAAATGGTTATTAAAAAACAGTTAGAAAGTTAAAAATATTTTTAAACGATTGTTTTTCATAACAATAACTGTCGCAAAAGTGATAGTTGAAATCATACGCATTGCGTTTGTTTTTTGCAAAAATGATTGATTGGATAGTAGCAAACGAAATATTAGCCTTAGGTATTTCAAAATCATCATGACCGATATCAACTGATTATAGATTCAATGTAAGCCGGGAGGGCCAACGGTTGGAAGTGGCATGACTAAAACTGCAAGTAGATCATCCGTATCTAGCAGCGTCGGTGGATTAAGTTCTCCGACAGAAGATCCCCAAAGATCATTTGTCGATCCGGCTTTACCAACCGAACACGGATATACTACGCAACCTGCTCATCCACCGACTCTTCCAAGGCGAGATTCCCAAGGTACGATTTATCAACAAAAACAAATTTTCTCTTACCATTTTTTTTTTAATTCGGTTAATTTATTATTATTATTATTATTAGCCTCCCAATCATCTGTGACAAGTTCTACGGGACCTAGAGCTCCCTTAGGAAGACAAAGTTCACAAACGCAATTAACGGAAGATTCAGAAGACACGATGAAAAATTTAAGAAAAACTTTTGCTGGAATATTTGGAGATATGTAATTTACATAACCACCCTCGCCATTCCCCTCCCACCCCCTTAAACGAATAAACGGTTTCGTAGAGGCCTATTATTATTATTATTATTATTATTATTATTATTATTATTATTATATTTTTAAAAATATGATTTAGGTGACTTATATGTGTTAAAAACATGCTTTATTGCTATTCGAAAGCTACGGCTGGTTTCTACCACATGATATATCTAAACGAAATTACAGGGAAAATATATGGATTGGATGAAAGCAAATCTCATACTATGATGATAATATTAATAATAATAATGATAATAACAAAAAAATATCAATTTTTGAAAATATTTTAAATAAAAAAATTATAAATTATTATTACATATGTAAGGCTGTGATTAGTTTTTATTTATTTAATTATTTATTTATTATTTGTATGACATAGAAATCTCCTAACAATTGATAATAGTAGAAATTGATTTAAAAAACCAAAAAACTATTTTTCTTCATTTAATTTTATCATCAAAGTGTATCAATAATAAAACTTATTAAAATTACTTTTAATTAATAAAATTATGTGAGTTATCACTTGATGCCACAGTTATTGCTTAATAACATATTTTTTATTTGCTCTTCCATTCCATATATTTCTTGATAATAAGCAGTAAAGCACATAAAAAATTACATAAAACACTGGCGCCTATACTATGACTTTTATCTATAATAATAATAATAATAATGATAAATCACTTGTTTTTTTTTTAATGGTTTTAAATCGTTCGAATAGAAAACAATTGTAATTTATGTATTATCATCTTCTATGTGCAGGAGTTATTGTGTTACATAAATTGTTATATACCAATAACTTGTTTATAGTTACATATGTGTAGTAGTTACCAAATAAGGAGGTTGAAACGAATTATAAATATGCGTTTACGGAACAATCGAAGGTTTAATGTAATAATAATTATTATTATTACCATTAAGGTGAAAATGAGAAAAATGAGATTAATACGACCCTTTGCACAGTTAGTAATTATAAATTTTAAATAAAATATAAATGGAAATGCATTACCTGTTTAGAAACGTATATAATTTTTTACGACGGATTAAATTTTTATATTTATATATGAAATGATTTACTTTTACGGTTATTTTTTCATTAACTAATTATTATTTAACTACGGTTTCAATATGTAATTGAATATGTTCTATCAATGGCGGTAATTATTAACGGTAAAATGGGCTATAAACGAAAAATTATTTTATCAGTTTTTCAATTTGTAATTAACATACTAAAATAAGAGTTTTTACCTTTATAGAAGAAAAATTATTTCGGTACACAATTATATTTTCACTTATTCTCATTACAAAATTTAACTTTCAACACAAATTTAAAATTAATCGTTTTTGAATAAATGAAAAGAACGCTTAATACTTGTCATCCACTGCCGCTTTTGACAAAATTCAAACGATTTGATTGGTCGAAATTAAAAATGACGTCATTCAAAATTCAAAATTGTTCTAGAACGAAAGGAACGTGCTGAGTAGTTTTTTTTAGTTGATGGTGTAGTTCGGTAAAGGCATATTAATTATAATTCGTTTAAAGTTATTAATTAAATAATAATTAGAAATTTTTCATTAAAAAAAGAATAAGTAAGCTTCGTAGATAATAGTTTTGCAATAATGACCTATATAAAATTGCTTATAATTTTCGGGCATAATATAAAATGTCCTAAAAAAAAAAAAACATATATATTTAACGTTTTACTGTTCTGAAAATTTATTAATGCGGATATACACATAGATAAATGATAAAACTTATTGGTAAATATCAATTCATTTATTATAAATAAAAAAATACATATATTAACAGTTAATAATGATAATATGTGTATTTAAAACTAATAATAATTCAAATTGACACATTGAAGGCGTATGTGTGTGGTGTGAGTGTGTCACGCCTAAACGTTAAAAATCCAGTTTTTTATTAAAAAATGAAAATTAAAATGAAAGCATAATAATAAAATAAATTAAATGTAATTTTAATGAGAGCTTGTATTGTCAAAATTGTTATTGTGCTTGATGTTAATTAAATATATATAAATAAATAAATTGTATTGCGCCTTCGATATCGAAGATTATGTGTAATATTTGTTTGAAAATTTTATGAGCTGATGTATTAAAATAGAAAAAAAAAAAATTAGCTTTCGTTTTTTATTAGGTCAAAAAGTAGATTTTTTAAATTAATAATGTAGAAAAAAAAAATAAAACTAATGATAAATTTCGGCAACGATTCAAAAAAAAAAAAAATAGTGTGTTATTTATTTTATTAAAATCGCTCTATCTGTTAATTAACATATATATATATGGCGTTTTGCTCAGTATAATTAATTTGTTATTATTAAAAATAATGATAATAATATTATATATATATGCATAAAGCAATATACGTATTGTTTGTCAATGAAAAAAATAAAAAATAAAAACTATTAATTAATTCTATAATAATGAAATTAAAAGAAAAAATCATTTTCTAACCTTTCCTAATATTAAAAAATTTAACGGATTTTGTGACGTCATCAATTTGAAACGTTTCGTTCTGATCGAAGTGGATTAGTATTATTTTTACACGAGTGCGCATGCGAGCGTTGTTGTTGTTGTTGTTGTTGTTGTCGTTGACAAAATTAATTTTATTTTATTTTTATTAAAAAAAAAAAAAATTATTATTATTATAATTAAATAAAAGTTTTTTTGATTTAGGTTAGAAATCGATATGGATATTTTGCTTCATTGGAAATCATTACGTTTAAGGTAAGTTAATTGTTATAATAACAAATTTTAAATTTATACTTTCAATGTCGTTTTTTTCCCCCAATACAATTAAATTAACAAGAAAAAATTATTTTATTAAAAATCTTTTTAATTTTATAATAATTACATTTTTTTATTTGATACCTTCGAGATATTAAAAAAGAAACGTTTTCCAAAATTTTTTTCTTTTTGCCAAAATTTCTTCTTATTTTTTCACAATATACTACAATGATAACGTGAGTGTCATGCAAGTTGCATAACTAAATTATTAATACGATGAAAAAATTAACAATTTTCCTTATAATTAATTAAAATTTATTAATATTTATTTATTTTTATTTTAAATTTTCAAATGTATTTATTATTATACATAATAATTAAAATTTTGGATTAAAAAAAATAGAAAAAACTTTAGGGGAAACAACAACAAATAACATTGTTTCACTAAAAAAAAAAAAAAATTGAGTAAATTTTATTTCTATAAATAATTTTAAAAAATAATAATAATAATAATTAAAAAATCGTTATTTCAATTAATTCTTAACAAGATAATAATATTTATATATTGCAATTTACACATATTTGTGTAAGTAAAAATATATTAAATTTAAGTACAAAATCCGCAGTTAGTATTAATAAAAACATATAAAAAAATACAATAGACAAAATTATTTTTAAAATAATTATTAAAAAAAAAAAAAATAATAATAATAATAATAAAAGTAATAAAAATATCAATCGTTAAAAATATCACAAAATTAATGATCGATTAATAATCAATCAATAATTTAAATGATTATTTGATGTTAACAAAAACAATTAAAAATTATTTAATAATTTTGTGATGATATTATAAAAATGGCTTATTATATTTTTTATTATTCTTAATAATAATAATAATAATAATAATAATAATTTTTTTTTCATTAACAAATACAAAAAATAAACTTAACTTGCTAATATACATATATTAATATAAAGTATAAATAAATTTAATTTTTGGTTTTAATATTAATAACATAATATTAAAAAATAATGTGGCAATATAAAAAATTACATCAAAATACTTAAAATGTTACATCATTATCAATTACAATGTATACATGTATAAAGTGTGTGTATATATGCTACAAATATATATAATACAAATTAATAATAATAATAATAATAACATTTTTTTTTAAAATCACAACAACAAAAATCAATAAATCAATCAATTGATTAAAAAATCATTCATGGACGGCGTTTTAAGGGCACATTAATTTGACAATTATTTAATAATGTACAGACTTATAATAACTAATTAATTAATTAACTAATGAACTAAATTAACAATTAAAAAAAAAAACTAAACTATTGTTCATAAAATAATATTTTGAGCCATTTTATTTATTTATGTATTTATTTTTTTTTCTTATAGGAAAAAGCAGTGATGGCCGAGTGATAAATTTAATAAAAATTTGAGCTAATCAATCATCCTGATTGGTAAGTTTTTTATTACAACTAAAATTTTTATTGTGATGCTTAGTAAACCCTGATTAATTGCATATGGCAATTATTTTACATCGCGCGTATTAATAATAATAATAATAATAATAATAATAATACTATGACTAATTAATATTTTTTTATGTCTGCCACGCGGTTTATTCTTATAACAAAATTTTTTTTAAAAATCGTATTCGATCGTCATCAAATTACCCATTCGGTACTCTTAAACATAAAATTAATTCGTTTTATTACAATCAATCAATCAATCAATCAATGATCGAAATTAATTATTTTACGTTTAAAAAAAAAAATGTAAACAATCGACGTTCGTTTCTTATAACAATTACATTGTCGAACAAAACAGGGATTAAATTTCATGTAGAAAATTCATTCGAATCGTTTAATTCCTTTTTAATTGGAAGGACAGCGGGGGGGGGGGTAATAAGGAGTATAGATTAACAAATAAGGGATTTAAGGTAAAAATCGAGATGAAGGCAATGGAAAAAAGTTGATGATCAGTTTCAAAAAGTAGTAGTTGTGCCAAATGTAAAAGGAGAGAAATAGAGAGAGAGAGATAGGGAGAAAAAGGGAGAGAGAGAGATTCAAGGAAAGGAGATGTTTATTAAATCCCAATTGGAAATCAATAAATCGTTTTCTAAATATCGATTAAGTATCGTTTAAATTCTTCTTTAGAGTTTTATCATTGTCCGACTTATTTTTAACAACGTCTTTTTCCATGGTCGGTGATGGGGCAAGACCCGGATTATCGTACATAAAATCCAACGTCGAGTCTTCCGAAGGTAATCTCACACCCAGGGGTTGTGTTATGGGTTTCGTTGATTTGTTCGTACAAACGGATGACGAACTGTCAGGTTCGGACCTTGCGTGATAATTTTTAAATGTTGTCGTCAACGTGGAATAATCAATTTGCGGACTCATAGGACGATTGTGTATGACTTCGTTCAATTCGTGTATGTTTGGTAATTTATCATCTTGTATACGTATCGTCGAAATTTCTCCATTTTCTTTTTTACCAATGACGATTTCTTTTTCTTTTCTCTTTTGCCTTTTAAGTTGTGACGTCAATTTAAATATGTTAAATTTTGTTTTCTTGTTGAGCCAGAGTATTATTATTAGAAAAACGAGGCAAGCGAAAACTAGGAGAGATATTATCAACGATATAGTACTTAATACTTGAAGTTTTTCTATTTGTTCTAGAAGAAAAAAAAAAAAAAAAAACGAAAAAATTATTTTTTAGCAAATCGAGTTCCATGAACTTTTATATATATAAGTTTAGTACTCAATAACTTAGTCGTGGCTTTAGTTAATTTTTTTTTTTTTAAATTAATTAATTTGCATTAACCGGAATCACGTCGATTGAATTTAAATTTAATATTCTTTTTTTTTTCTGGATTTGAAATTCGAACTCTTTGTTACAATCAGTCATCACGTGACAGACGAGAGTTATGAAGTTTACAAAAAAAAATTCGTGCTTTATCTTAATTAATTAATTTTTAACCCATTTACTCACCTCTGTCATTAAAATCGCTATAATTTTCTCTCCTCTTGGCAAATCTCATATCATGTATGTAATCTGTAACCCAAATAATAATAATAATAATTTATTGTCTGAGGTCAAATTTAACATGTAATAAATAAATAAATAAATATGTTACATCACAGGTAAAAAATTTTTTTTCAACTGTAAACATATACGTCTTTATTATTACATGAGTGAATAGAGTGAGAGAGAGAGAGAGAGAGAGAGAGGGGGAGTGAGTGTGAGAGAGTGAAAAAAGAGGATAGAAGGCTCATCATCCCCCTTTTATGTTAACAAATGAATGAATTTACCTTGACAATG